GGGCTCACCCCGCCGAGTCCGCGCCTTCGCCCGGGTCCAGAATAGGTGAGACGGGCCGTCACTCGACCACTGCGCCCCGCCCTCCGCTGGAGGTGGCCCCCACCCCTTCCCGCCGTCTCCAGGGGCTCCGGACCCAGGGAATGGGGGGCGGGGCGGGGCCCCCGAGGCCGCTCCCGCCTCGCCGCGTAGTTTGTTTAAAGCCGAGCCGCAAAGTGCGGTCTGCGCCCTGATTGGCGCACACCCAGCACGTGACCGGGCGGCCGTCCCCACCCACAATCCTTTGGGACACCTGGGCGCCCCCGGGGCCGGCCTGCCTGTGTGGTGGGTTGGGTTGCGGGAATTGTAGTCTGCATCGTAGTGGGGGGAGGGAAAGGGCAACGCAGCCCGCGACCAGACAAATGTCCCCCCATCTCTGTGGGTGAGAGGGGCGGCCTAGGGCTCCCACCTGCGCGGCCTGCGGGCAGCGGGGCCTGGTGGACTGGCCACCGAGGGAGTTCGTGCCGCGGAGAGCGGGACTCGGCGCAGCCCCTGCCCAGGCGAGAGCCATCGGGATGCTCTTCCGTTTGCGACTGGGCCACGCTGGGGATTTTCCTGCGGAGTAACTCGGAACGTCCGCTTCTGTGTGCGTCCTTGGTGCTCGCAGGAATTGGACATAGCTGGCTGGTGGTGTCACCGCCCCTGACTGACCTGGAGGGCCGCCATGACCACTCTCCCTGGCCTGTGCACACAGGACCATCCCTCCGCGGGGGACCAGTAAGGCTGCGCCTTTGTGCGCAGATTTGTGGTGAAGCATGCTCACCTTTAGCTCCAGCCTTCTTTCAGCTATTTACTCAACTAAATACCTTTCCAAAATGGAAAAAATGTTCACGCAGGGGTTCTGAGCTGGAAACCCCGGGGCCAGAGATGGCACTGTAACTCTTGATCAAGAGGGGGGAAAAGTTAAAGGCCTGATTGAGTTAGGTTACCACCGAAAACGTTCTTAAATGGAAAGTTGCATACTGGAATTTCTGGAGGGGGAAAAACTTTGAAGTACTTGCGTCTAACCGTTGGCACCTTCAATCAACATAGGAGCAGTGCTGTGTTTGGTGCTATGGAATCCGTTCAGACCCCTGTTGTATGTGACCCACAAAACCCTTTTATCCAGAGCCATTCTCACAATCATTGCTATGTATGCTTGAGCCCATTATTGCAACCACTGTGTGAATTCATACAGTTGTCTTCCTCTTTTCTGCTGGCCCTGTACTCTAGCCGAAGAAATCCTGGTGACATAATTGGTTACCTTGGGTATACTAACTGCAGGGTCAGCAGTTTGGACCTACCAGCAAGCGCTGTGTGAGAGAAAAATGTGGCTACCTGCTTATGTAAAGATTTACAGCTTTAGAAAGCCCAGTGAACAGTTCTACTCTGCCCTATAGGGTCACTATGATTCAGGATTGAATAGATGACCGTAAGTTTGGTTTTAGGTACTTAGCCAAGAATGATGTCCTCCAGGCTGGCCCCTTCTAATAACATGTCCAAAGTAGGTGAGAGGATGTCACAATCCCCCATTCCAAGGAGCTTTATGGCTGTATTTCTTCTAAGGCACTCTTACTCATTCTTCTGGCTGTGCATATTATATTTAATAGTTCTCACCAACACCGTAATTCAAATGCACCAATACATCTTCAGTCTTTTAGTCATTACCCAGCTTTTATATATGTAGATGGGAACTGGAACTGTCAAGTGCACCTTAGTCCTCAAATTGACATCTGTACTGTCTAACACATTAAAGAAAATTTTTGGTAGCATGTCTGTCCATTGCAGTGCATCATTTGGATTGTTGATGGCTGCTTCCATGGATGTTGCTTGTGGATCCAAGTAAAATGAAATTCTTAAAAGTTGAATCTTTACCCCATTTACTGTTATGTTACTCATTGGCTCTGTTGTGAAGGGAGACGTAGGACAGTGTAAGATATGACAAAATAATAATTTATAAATTATCAAGGGTTCGTGAGGGAGGGGGAGCTGGGAGGGAGGGGGAACATGAGAGCTGATGCCAGGAGATTGCATAGAGAGCAAATGTTTTGAGAATGATGAGGGTAATGAATGTACAAATGTGCTTTATACAATTGATGTATGTATGGACTGTGATAAGAGTTGTATGAGCCCCCAAAAAATGATTAAAAAAAGAAAGGAAGAAAGAAACTTAATGTGGAACATTCTGGCTTCTTGCCTATCTCTAACCCAATCTAAATGGAAAAGAGAATTATCTCTTTAGAGACAGTGCCTGAGTTCACAGTTGTCAAGGAGATCAAAGGGATGAGTTTTCCCTTTTTCCCTAGAATTTTCTAAGACAGACTCATTCATCTATCAAGTGTATTTTAGTATGAAAGCAAGAAGAAAATAATGAAATATATTAAATCTTTTGCTAATGTTCCCCTGCTCAACTCCACATTAAAGTAGGCCTTGCTGTATTTATTAGCACTAAACTACTAGTTTTTAGTTGTGATCTGGATAAAAATTTATAGAGAAAATTGGATTTCCATGCAACAATTTACATACACATTTTGATTCATGACATTTATTGCATAATTTTGTTTTCAAATTTTTTAATGGTGCAAACACAATCATTGTTAATGAATAGCTGTCTCTTATTTTATATAATTAGTTAATTAAATAATGAGAATACATGAGTCTGCCATCCATTCCTGGAACTAAGATATTGATGGTCACCTGGATAAATTAAAGTTGTTGTTAGATGTTGTCAAGTTGATTTAAACTCATTGTGATAGTCACCTAATCTGGTGTCAATTTAAGGATTAAGAGTGTAGGGGTCGAGTCTAGGCTGTCTATCTGGAGATAGCCAATGAGACTTCTGGGTGGGCATGGCCTTCTCCTGAGAATTCTGGGAAATCTGGTACTTCCTCCTTGGAGGTGGAAGACACCTCTCTCTCTCTGCCACTCCCTGGGAGACATAGCTGAAGATAACCCACATGGATGCAACCAGACCTCAGAAGCTGGGGAAGCCACAGAGAGAGCCCTGTCAGCACTGAGATGCTTATCATGCCACTAGATCCAAAGACTTTCTACCCACTGGCTTGTGATCGTCCTGCATTTGGCTTCATTGCTTGTGTTTCCTGAGTCTGAAGAGGACTTTATAGATTTGTATCGGACATATGGTCTATTATCAAACTTATGGCCTTGGACTGGACTGGGGTGGGATGATTTTCTCAATGTTCAATTCCTCTTGTATATAAACCTCTCCCTTATATGCATATGTGTGTTTGTAAATTTGTTTCTCTCATCAGACTAACACACTCATAGTGACTCTATGTGATAGAGGAATATTGTCCCACAAGGTTTCCTAGTTTGAAATCCTTATGGAGGTAGATCATCACGTCTTGCTTCTGTGATGCCAATAGAAGGGTTTGCCCTGCCAAACTTTTAGTTTTAATGCCAACCCCCATTCCAAAGGAAGTCCAAACTCACTGCCATCATGTCAATTCTGATCCATATTGACCCTGCAGGATAGAGTACAACTGCCCTGGTGGGTTTCCGACACTGTCAATCTTTATGGAGTAGAAACCCTCATCTTTCTCCCATGGCTATAATAAAAACATATAGACAGTAATACTGCTGCAGTTGTGGAGAAATTGAAATCCTCATACACTGCTCCTGGGAATGTAAAGATTGATCAGCTTATTTGGAAGACAAATTGGTAGTTCCTCAAATAATTAAATATAAAGTTCTACTCCTGGATATGTAACCAAAAGAAATGAAGACTTTGTTCACATAAAACTTGCACACATGGAAGCCTTAGCCAGAACTATTCAACAAGAAATAGAAATGAACGGCGTCCAAGTTGGCAAATATGAAACAAAACTCTCTCTATTCATAGATGATATGATTCTGTACTTAGAAAATCCTAAAGACTTGGCAAAAACTGTTGGAATTAACTGAAAGATTCATCAAACTGGCAGGGTACAAGATCAACATATAAAAATCAGTTGAACTCTTTAATCCTAAGAAACATAATTCTAAAAAAGAGTTAAGAAAGCAATACCAAAAAAAAAAAAAAAGAAAGCAATACCATTATCAACAGCCCAAAAGAAATGGAAATACTTCAGAATCTGAAGGAAAGGGGTCAGAGTGGAAACCCAGAGCCCATTTGTAGACAATTGGACATTCCTTCACAGAAGGGTCACATGGAAGGGAGGATTCATCCAGGCTGCAGTATGGCACCGATGAAACACACAACATTCCTCTAGTTCTCTAAGGCTTCCTTCCCCCACCATCATGATCCCAGTTATACTTCACAAATCCTGCTAGACTGGAATATGTACATTGGTACAGATAAGTGCTTTTGACACAGATTCTAGAACAGATAAACCCCTCAGAAACAGTAACAGGAATAGTGATACCATGAGGAGAGGAGGAAGTTGAGGGTAGATGGGGCAAAAAGGGGAACCAATGGCAATAATCACTGTATAACCCCGCAGATGGTGTAAGATTGGTGTAAGATATGAAAAAAAAAATTTTATCAAGGGTTCATGAGGGGGAGGGGGAGGAAAAAGAGGAGCTGATATCAAAGGGCTCAAGTAGAAAGCTAATGTTTTGAAAATGATGATGGCAACATGTACAAGTTTATATAACTGATTTATGGATTTTTATAAATGTGTAAGACACCCCAATAAAATGATTAAAAAACAAAACAACAAAAAACATATACTTAGGAATGAACATAAACAGAGAAACAAAAAGATGTCAAAAGAGAAAACGAGGAAACACTGCTATAAGAAACCAAAAGCGACCTATATACATGGAAGAATATATCATTTTCATGGATAGGAAGTATTAAGATTGTGAAAATATCAATACTACCCAAAGCAATCTATAGATGCAATGTAGCCCTTATCCCAATTCTAGTATCATTCATTAAAGAGTTGGAAAAAACAATCATGAATTTTATATGGAAAAGAGAGACTCCAGATAAATAAAACACTACTTGCAAGAGCACTTTTTTCTAGTAACCTGGCATTCTGTGACGCTCATCTTCCAAACACAACCACTGAAGACAAAATGGGTGCATAAGCAAATGTGAAGAAAGTTGATGGTGCCTGGCTATCAAAAGATACAGTGTCTGTATCGTAAAGGCTTGAAGTTAAACAAGCAGCCAACTAGCTCAGAAGCAACAAAGCCCACATGGAAGAAGCACACCAGCCTGTGTGATCACGAGGTGTCCACAGGATCAGGTATTACGCATCAGAAGAACCAGAACAAACAACCATATTGATGGGAACGAGGGGAGTCAGATTGGAGACCCAAAGCCCATCTGTAGACAATTGAACATCCCATTACCTAAGGGACACAAGGAAGGGATGAGCCAGCCAGGGTGCAGTATAGCACCGATGAAACATATACCATTCCTCTAATTCTTTAACATTCCTCTAGTTCCCCCCACTATCATGACCCCAGCTCTACCTTACAAATCCGGCTAAACCAGAGCATGTACACTGGTACAGATAAGAACTCTAGACACACAGAATCCAGGACAGATAACCCCCTCAGGAACAATAATAGGAGTAGCGATGCCATGAGGGTAGGAGAAAGGTGGGGGGAGTAGGAGGGGATTAATGGCAATGATCAACAGATTAACACCCCACCCCACCCCCCAGGGTGATGAACAACAGAAACATGGGTGAAGGGAGACAGCAGACAGTTTAAGATGTGAAAATAATGATAATTTATAATTTATCAAGGGTTCATGAGGGTGGGAGGTTGGGGGGGGGGGAAATGAGGAGCTGATACCAAGGGCTCTAGTAGAAAGAAAATGTTTTGAAAATGATGATGGCAACATATATACAAATGGATGTATGGATTGTTATAAGCTGTAAGATCCTCCAATAAAATGATTTTTTTAAATGAGCATAGGATATGAACAGCCATTTCACTGAAAAAGACACTCAGGTGGTGAACAAACGTATCTGAAGAAATATTAGCCATTTGCGTGTTGAAAATCAAAGGAACAATGAGATACCACCTCACCCTAGCATTAGTTAGCAAAGGTAAAGCAGACAAACACAAAACAACAATGCACGCAAGGATGCAGAGAACCTGGAACTCTCCTCTGGTGAGGCTGTGTAACAGTGTACCTGTGGAAAGCTGTATGACACTTTTCCCAAAAAGTGGGGATAGAAACACCATATGATGCAGCCGTCCCTCCACCTGGTACATATACTAGCGAAATAGAAGCCATGACATGAGTAGACATATGCACACACACGTTTGTTGCAGCACAATTCACAGTAGCCAAACGATGGAAACCACCCAAACGTCCAGCAATGGAAGAATGGATAAATAAGTCCAATCTGCATTTTACCCCACTTTCTGAGCCAGACACATAGGAAACAAAGGTGAGAGTAACAAAGGCTAACAGTCATATTAAATAATTCACTGCATTGCACCATTGAATCATTGCTCTTGTTTGATTTCTTGTTTTACTCACCACGTGAGTATGTGACTTTTGTTTATTACTTTAAATTATTTTATTGGGGTCTTGTACAGCTCTTATCACACTCCTGTGTGGTATTTGACGTTTGATATACATTTTTGAGTGTCATTTCTGCTGGTAGCTGAGAGTTGAACCAAAAAAAAAAAAAAATCCTCTAAAAGAAATCCAAACTCACTGTAATGGAGTCAATTCTGACTCCTGTGTTACAACGTAGAACTGCTCCTGGGATTTTCTGGACTGTGGACACCTGAGCGTTAGCCCAATGAGACCCAATTGGGAGTTCCTAAGGCATCAGGCATCAGTGGGCTGCTAGGCCCCTCTGCATTTTGCTTGGTTTTGTCGTGGGGTTTTGTAGTTTTAATTTAGAATATCTAGAACATAGAATAGATGAACATGCTTTTGTTGTTTCTTTTGCGAAGCTAAAATCAGGCAATTTTATTGAAATTATTTACATAAACTGGCATTAGATAGATTCATGGTAGGATAATTCAAATGTGGTATAAGGATTACTGAGAATGTATGATTTTAGTATGTTTTTTTTTTTTTTTAGTTTCCTTATCTGTAAGGATAGAAACAAACGAGTAGCTTGTGATTTTAAGCCAAAGCACAGAGTGTTTGTTAATGGGTAACCAGGCAAGCTTATCCTTCTCAGTTCCAGGAGAAGAAAGATAAATTCTTCCACTGTGCTGTCCCCACTTGAAGCACAGAAAGCAGCAACGGAGCAAAAGAAAGCCGAAGGAAGACGACGTGATGGTTTTAAACTGATACTGGGTACCTGCATCCCTCTCCTGTCTTTGTGGTGGGAGGCGGGAGCGGAAGCAACCCTCTGCCTCCTCTCCTGTCAGCACTCTCAAAAAGAAAACTGGTTTTCTCCTTGCCAAAAACATGTGGCTGAGTATTTTGGCAAATTTTGTGTCTGTACGAGTATTTGTGTCATTTTAAGCCACAAATTTGTAGTTGTCAGAGGTGCTAAGAAAGAAAAACAGACTCCGTGAGAGTTTGGTTCAACGCTTTCATCCGTGCTGGGTCAGAACTGAATCATACTGAAATTTCCTGACCTTCATATTTCCTTTCACTGTCTTGGTAGAATTCAATCTTCAACAGTTAGTAATTTTTTTTCTTTTAAGTACTGCCCAGATGAAGCAACAGGAGGGAGTAGAAACATTCAAACCGAGTTGTTTCAGAAGGGCAACACCGCTCACCACAGCTGCACACTTAAGAACATTCTCCAGTGGTTTTTTGGTAAAATGTTCACCTCACAGGGGTTGGGCGACACCCCCGTGGGCGGCGTGGAGGAGTATGCGCTGGTTACAGAGTGAGTGGGAATGCGTGCAGCTCTCTGCAGCCTAGACAGCAGAGGCTGGGGCGGGGCGGTCCGGAAGGGAGGGGACCACCATCGTGAGGTGCTTTCTCCCTCTAAACTGATAGCAGGAGCTGGGAGTCTGGTTGTACGATGGCCTGATTCAGCTAAAAAGGAAGCCAGTGGAGGAGGGGCACACTCTTTCTCGAGTTTTGGTCCCCCACCTTAAGAACCTTGATTCTCTCGTGCTTTGTGGAAAACTTGTTTCACATTTTATAGACCTAAAGTTCTAAAGCCGTTGGTTTGTGGACAGCTACAGTCTACAGCATGAGCCCTCATATCAACTGGAGTCTTGCTATTTGACTTCAGCTACTTCCCCCACACGCGCTGCCCACTAAGCCAACAAAATGTCTGTGTTTAAACAAGCCCAGGGAAAGGCGGTTTGCCCCCAGGCAGAATGTAGTCGAAAACAGATGAACTGGTCTGCAGGAAAGTGCTCACACCCAGGATGATGGAACGCACACAAAGAGTCTACCCAGGTACCTTCTGAATGATTTGCCCATGGCTAATCCTGTAACCTTTTAAAATCTGCAGCTGCACATATTCTAATCATATTCCTATCCCCTCTCCCATCCCTGTGGTCCCGCCAGACAGAGATGAAGTGACCTGCCCTAAACGAGACCTTCGGATGGTTTCCTGGGTTCGCTATCATAAATCCAGAACACCAGAACTGCTCTTCGGGAATTTCACAGCCTCTGTCCTGGGTACACGCAGATGCTTTCCTTCTTCTGGATGATCGTCTTTGTCCTGTTTAAGGCTCGATAAAATGGTTTCTGTACAATAATATTGAATCTGGGTTTGTTTGGGTGTTTTTAACCCTAATGTAATGTGTTTTCGTGAAATTTGTGGAACCGAGTTTCATGCTTCCCTTTGATTAGGTTCTAGCTCTCAAAGGCCAGCCCTGCAGAGGAAGCAGTGAAGCATCTTTTGTTTTTACCCAATTGTACACTGTATTTGAGCTTACCTTGGGAGCACTAGGTTTGCATTAGGAATGGAAAAAGGCTATTAGTAACCTACCATATGCCTGGTGAGAGTAAGGAGGACGATAAGTATTTGCTGATGAAGATCAGGGACTGTGGTTTCAGTATGGATTGCAACTCAATGTAAAGAAAACTCAAATCCTCACAAATGAACAAATAGATAATATCATGATAAAAGGAGAGAAGATTGGAGTTGTCAAGAATTTCATTTGGTGTGAATCAAATAAATGCTGTGTTAGTCTGGGTAGACTAGAGAAATAAATTCATAGACACTCATATGTGTATACGAAAGAGCTTTATATGAAGAGTAAATGTACATTAAGAAAACATCCCAGCCCAGTCCAGATCAAATCCGCAAGTCCGATATTAGACCATATGTCTAGTACCAGTCTGTAAATTCCTTTTCAGACTCACACAACACATGCAATGATGTAGAGTGCAGGAAGATCACAGGCCAGTGGGTAGAAAGTCTTGTGGATGCCGTGGCAGTGGAAGGATCTTAGTGCTGGTGTGGGCCTCCATGTGACTCCTCCAGCTCCAGGGCTCTGGTTGCCATCAGCATAGCTCCATGTGGCTTGTCAACAAGAATGTCTCCCAAGGAGTGAGTGTCCTGCCCCTCCAACAAGCTATTTATCTCCTTAGGGGTTCACAATGAAGTCATCAAGCTGTTACCTGATTGACGCACTAAACTCTGCCCCTTCACTCTTAAGTCTCAAATTGACAACAGGTGTGTAACCGCCACAATGCTCATGGGAGCAGCAGCCAAGAAATCAAACATTGGGCAAATCTGTGGCAGAAGACCACTTTAAAGTGTTGAAGAGCAAAGAGATCATTTTGAGGAAGCGGGTGCACCTGGCTCAAGCCGTGGTATCTTCAGTTGCCTTATATGCATGTGAAAGTGAGACTGAATCAGGCAGACAGAAGAACTGATGCATTTGAATTGTGGTGCTGGTGAAACATATTGAAAGTACCATGGATTGCTGGAAGAACCCGCAAATCTGTCTTAGAGAAACTATAGACAGACTAGTCTTTAGAAGGAAGGATGGTGAAATTTGCCCTCACATACTTCAGGCATGTTATCCGGAGAGATCTGTTCCTGGAGAAGGATATGCTTGGGAGAGTAGGACAGCAGAAAAGAGGAAGGCCTTAAAGCGGCTGGATTGACAGGGTGGCTGCAAGGAGGAGCTCAAGCTCACAACACTGATGAGGATGCTGCAGAACCGGGCGTGTGGTGTTCTGTGGAGCACAGGGTCACCGGGAGTCAGAGTTGACTCGAGGGCACCTAACAACAGCAACAGTTTTGAGAAGTCCACAGTTGTTAGCGAGAACTCTAACGCTATTTTCGAGTCTCCCCATAGACTCAGCTTTCATTGAGCCTTTCAATATTCTTTCTGCATATTGACCAGCTATGTGAAAAGCTTTTCCATCAGGCAGAAGGTGTTTGGAAGTGCATTACTGTTAGGTTTCTGGAATGCTCTCCCCAGTTCCTGCTTCTCAACGTGGAAAGAATTCACGTGGCAGAGCACTTTTGTAACCCAAGTAATTTTTATGAGAGAAAAGGAAATTTCGGGTAATACAGCCCCAAACAGTAGATGGTATCCCTGGACAGTGTGCAAGACCGGCTGGGAGACCTCTGGAGAGTTTGAGTTCGAAAATGGCTGCTTCAGGGGAGTGTGAAAAACCAAGTGGTGGCTTTTTCATAATTACATGAATTACATAAAATTAATTACATCATTACATGAATAACAATGAGAACCAGGAAGATGAACGTGTTCAAGAATTGATTGTGGTGATGATGGCACAACTCTTCTTGCTGATTGAATTATTGAATTATGCGACATGTGTATGACGTGCCAATAAGACTGTACCTTTTTATATAAAAAAAAAGCCTGTCGATGTCCTATTGAACCTTGGGGGAAGGGTTTCTTGGAGTCAAATCAAATAATAGCTTAGTTTAGTGATAGTGTTTTGCTTTAGGCATTGGGTTGTTTGAGAAATTATTATTATTCAGCAAGCATTGGGAAGCAGGGCTCCAGGGTTGGACTAGAGGCTAGTTTATGATGGATGGCATGTCCTTTGTGACTGTTCCGTACCCTGCCCTGTGATTTGCTGTGTGAAGGAGCTAAAAAGAACCAGGTATTTGACATAAGGTGAAGCTCCTGCCAAACTCCTTTTTTCCCTTTTTTGTTTACTGCTTATGCTGAGGCGCCTTTCAAACTCAGATAGCCACCATCCCTCAGGTAGCCTCCTTTATTTCTTCCCCTTCCCCTTATAGAGAGGGTAAAATAATTAGCCTGCTGTTAATGAAAATAGACATGTAGCATAATTTAAGATTAAGTTTATTAAAAATCAAAAATGTAACAGTCTCATCCCTAGCAGTAAACATTCCTTTTAAACTTAATCAGTAAGGATGTTGTAACTCAGGAAGGAGGCAAACAAGGCCATTCAGATAAGAAATCCATTTAGATAAGCAACAGAGCCTCAGTAGGTGGTGGTCTGACAGCCCCTGGGGCAATGTAGTCATAAATTGATGGTTGGTAAGCCCCGAGGACATGTACATTGTTTCCTCCTGAAGCCTGCTTCTGTCACTTTGTTTGGGGTCCTCTGATTAATGATCTCCTGGGGCCACTGTAAAACCTGTTTTTTTTGGTCACATAGTTTAAGGTATATAAAGTGCTTGATTTTCACTGGCTCTTCGGAGCAGTTTGGTGGTAGCAAACCCCACTGTTTCCTTCTGTCTAGCTCTTGCAGAAATAAGAATTTCTTGAATCAACCTGGTCTCTACCTTTACCTGAAACAATGACAGGCAATCCCAGACATTTTGTTTCCCACCCAGCAACCCTCTCACAAAATGTTCCCAGGAAGATCATTCAATCGGGCTGGCCTTCGAACTATCTATTGAATAAGCTGTTAAATGGCTCAAACATTATGGTTAGCAAAATAATGTTTAAGGGGTCTTACTATTCTCCTGTGTCTGTGTAGACACATGAGTTAATATTTAAAAAATGGCTGCTTCTGCTAAGCAAGCACTTCTCTTAGGTAGCCGGATAGGGGGTTGCTCCTCTCCATGCCTAGGGGCCCCCTACAGGAAGTTGGAAGCCCATGAAGGCTACAGGGCATGCAAATTCAGGCCTTTGAGGCAGGAAGCCAGTACACCTGGGAGGACCCCTATCTAGGCTAGGTGGGCTTAATTCACCAGTGGGGTCAATCAGTACCATTCACCACGCCTCCCAGCGGAGGGCTCTGAAAAGTCAGAATCGGGAGCCCACCCCTCTCTTTGCCAGCTGCTCCTCCGCAGACTGTGCTACTGGGCCTCCGTGTTTCTCTCTCTCTGGCTTGTGTTCAGTTTACTGTAACGCCTGAAATGGCTTCTATCCTTCATAAAAACCCACTTGGATCACAAACTAGGCTTTGGCTTGAATTCTTTCTCATGCGACGCCAAGGACCAAGGCATTTCTCACCCAGAAAAACTAACAGAACCTGTCACGACTCTAGGGGCAGTTGTGCAAACAGAACAAGGCAATACTGCATTGTTTAATATCAAGAGAGGGGAATCGCACTACTTTTGTCCTTTTGGTAGCGTAGATCTGCAGGGGACCTGTCCAGTGCATCCTGACTTCACTGCTCAATAAACCTGTAGTGCTGCCCCCTCCTAAATAAAATGTAAGAAAGAAAGGTGTATGTCAAGGTTATATGTGCTCATTATACTTATTCAATCTGTATGCTAAGCAAATAACCAGAGAAGTTGGATTATATGGAGGGGAATGAGGGATCAGGATCGGAGGCAGGCTTATTAACAACCAGTGGTATTCAAATGACACAACCTTGCTTTCTCAAAGTGAGGAGGACTTGAAGCACTTGTCGAAGAAGAGCAAGGATCACAGCCTTTGTATGGATTACAGTTTAATGCAAAGAAAACACAAATCCTCACAACTGGGCCAATAGGTAACATCATGATACATGGAGAAAAGATATCCACAATCAATGCTCATGGAAGCAGCAGTTAAGAGATCACATGACACATTGCACAAGGTCTATCTGCTTCACCAGACCTTATGAGAGTGTTGAAAGGCAAGGATGTTACTTTGAGGACTAAGGTGTGCCTGATCCAAACTATGGTATTTTCCATTGCCTCATATATATGTGAAAGTTGAACACTGAATAAGGAAGACTGAAGAAATATGAATGCATTTGAATTGTGGTGCTGGTGGAAAGAACATTGAAAGTATCAAGGACTTCCAAAAGAATAAACAAATGTGTCTTGGAAGTACAATCAGAACGTTCCTTAGAGGCAAGGATGGGAGATTTTGTTCCATGTACTTTGGACCTGTTATCAGGAGAGACTAGTTCCTGGAGAGGAACATCATGCTTGGTTAAATAGAGGGGCAGCAAAGAAGAGGGAGACCCTCGGCGAGATGGATTGCCACAGTTGCTGCAACAAAGAATTCACTCATAGAAATAATTGTGAAGGTGGCACAATGTCTCGTTATGTTGTAGGTAGCATCAATATGGGTCAGAATCCACTTGATGGCACCTAACACCCACAACATAATTAGCCCAGGGTTGTGAATTAATTGTACACAATTTGACCTCATGATGGTTTCCGTCATCCAGATGATTTGTCTTTGTCAAATCATTTGCTTATGGCCTTATAAAAGGGTCTCTATAAAATGTGTTGTACTTTGGAGTCTCCCCCCCTAGACTAAGTACTGATGTGGCATCCAAAGGTGACTTCACAGAAGAATCTCCCCTGCACCCACCTGTAGTCCTAGGACCTCCAGACATTTCAATTGAAGAAGTCAAT